TTTTGTGCCTGCAGCATGTCCACGAGGGCTAGGCAGAAGGGCAGCATCCAATACTTGATCTGTGGTGGGTGCCCTTGCGTGAGCATGGAGGTGCTTCTTTCCCTAACATTACCCTGCTTGCATACAAACCTTGATCGAAAACATCCAGTTCACATCTCGCAGGGGATCCTGACGACCGAGACAGTGCAAGGCTGCTGTTATCAGGGCATTGCTTGTAATAGGCAGACCCATCAATGACCCCAGGACACTCAGCACGCCGATATTGAATAAGAGGAACACTAGCTGCTGTGCAGTCCCTTGTGATTTCTCTAATGCAGTTCCTGTCGATTACGGATCAGTGTGAGCTGCAAGATTCGAGCTCTTCCAGACCCGGGCACCTGCAGACGTACCGTACTGGTGCAGGAAGTAGAGGTTGGAGACCCAGCTCATGGACGGGGGCCCTAGAAAGGCAGCGGCCGTGAAAGGTCGCCAAATCTGGGCCTTGGTAATGGTACGGACGGGATCGAGTAGGAAGTAGGCGGGGTCTAGGATGATGATGCCGAGGCCAGTGAGTACCAGGGAGGCAGTGAGGTGCAGGCGAGTGACGAGCGGCGTTGCCTGATACCACTCCTTGACCTTCTGCTTTGTGCTCGCCTCTTTCGCGTATCTAATTTTATTGCCCTGCGCAGCTGGACCATTCGCCTTGACCTTGCTTTTTTTTTTGGCAGGCTGCACTCCGCCTCTTGCTCGCGCCAGCCACCGAACTGGATTCGTCTGCCCTCCATTTTTTTCCGGCGGCCCAAAAGATTGATGACTATCGAACACATAACCGCATGAGGACGCATAGGATCGATTTTTAAGACGCTTTGTTGCTTCGCTTCGGCACGGGGATCGTCGTTTCAAAGACAATTTGGAGGGAGGTTGCTGAGGGGCTTCGAGCCTAGTGCTCTGTAGGCTGGTCGTCGTAAGCAATATGAGAAGGAGAGTCCACTGCCACCGAGCTTTTCCAGCCTGCGCACCCTCCTGCCACATCTTGAAGACCTTGAAAGGTGGTGCAGGGGAGGATGTTGAAGATTAGGCATCGAGCCGAGTTACCAGCCCGGTGAGGTCAAGGGCCGTCGAGGAGGCCCACCATCCTGCGATATCCTCGCTCATCATCATCATCGCCACACTCCCATGCGGCCCACGGCCTGGTCGACGCGAAGGCTTGAGACGCACAGCCGGTGTCACATAAATATAGAGGGGCACGAGGCTGTGCCTTTACCAAGTGTTCGATACTTCTCCTTTCTCGGCCATGCATATCATCTTTCCTCTTCTTTGCATCGCAGGAGAGGGCCCGCCCTCCCCCTCCAGGCGGGGAATTGAGCCTCAAGCACAGCAAGACTCATTCTGAACTCCCGAAATCCAGCTATCGACTCTGTTCACTCTTCCGTCATGCCTCCGGAGGAGGGGACGACGGGGATCTCTGCGGCAGGACCACCAACTGCAAGTTCTGAGGGCCCACACCAAACTGAACCGGCGCAATCGAGGAGCAGTGCCACTCTAAATGCTGTCCAAGCTTTCGTTGCGTTGAGTCTAAATGCTCCTCTATCGGGTAGCCTTGGACACAACATGAGGACAAGCGTCCGCCAAATTGAGCAGCCAAGACCAAATCAGCGGCTCCAGACACAGACCTCGCCTACACATCGTACCTTGCCTCTAAACGAAGCTGTCCCCTCCACGCGCGCACATACCCCGCCCCCTCTTACTCACTTATGCATGGCCACCATTGCTGATAATTGCTCGGGATTGGTTTCTGTGAATGGTTTGGCCGAGGAACTCTGCATACGCATATTACGAGAGATCCTGCTCCGGGGCAAGCTAGATTACCGCTTGTGCCGTGTCTTCATCGAAAGCGGCCATGAAGAGCTTAGCAAGGCTGTGTCTAGCCTCAATCTCTTCGACGCGCTGGGATGTGGCAGGCCATCGGGAGGAGCAGGCCTTGGATCAGATTGTCGGCGTTGAAACTGTGGTCAACGTCGCGGTGTTGTGTGATGTAAATAGAGTGCAAAGGCCCCAAGACGGAGGTCTTCAGCACGCGGAGCGACAAACACATGTAGCAGATCATCTCAAGCAGGAGGGATCATTCATTTGCTTGAAGAGCTGAAACACTCGGTACTACCACATGCGCTAACGGGTGAGGTATAATCAGAAGCGAAGTAAAATAATATATCGAATTGATTTTTTTTTGCTACTTTAGAATCAATGTGATACAACGTGTTGTACCGTTGCTTTCAGCAACGTGAATGGTTGTCAAGCTTGGAAAGCTCTTCGGCTGGTGATACCTGCCGCGTTCGCGCCTTTTTCCCCCAGGCCTCCATCCCACCAAGCCTTCTCTCTACTACATCTGACCGCACGTCAGGCTCACTGGCAGCTTGCACTCTGAAGTGACTGCCAAGTTCGAGCTCCAATTCCCGAAATAATGCGAGTCGATCTCCCTGAGGCGAGTGGTCCTTTAGACTTGTCAAGAAGGAAGAGTGGCTCCGATCTTGCCGGTACTCGGGCCGCCGCTCTGGCAGTGTCAAGTACTCCATATTTGAACGCTGGAAGTCCCAGAGGAATGACGTGTGATGCAGCCACCGATCTTTGACTATGCTCTGGGCATTACCACCAAACTTCAAGGATCCAAACACGTAGTCGTTTTCACGAAGCTCAAAGGGCTTGGTCTGGGCCGATCTTAGGCGTTCAAAGACGGGCCTGTAAAGGCCCGCCGTCCATTCCATTATCGGTCTCGGATAAGGCTGATTTGGCGTGACCTCAACCTTTCAAAGTCCAAGCAATGGATGTATGAGATAAGCCAATGATATGACAGAAATTTGTTGAAAGCCCACATTCCATAATCATGAGTTACGCGTTTGCAACGCAATACCCACATGGTTTTATCTTAGATAACCCTAACCCTAACAGTTTTAATTTAGACTTACTGTATTCATGATAAATGTCACAAAAAGGGAGTCTTGATCAACGATAACTGTTCCTCCTCCCGAGAAACGCCGTAGTACTGGTATTTCGTCTTGTATTACGCGGTCTAAATGTACAAGCTTTGAGGGCTTTCCGCCAATACCTAAAACGATGGTAGGTCGCCCCGTGCCCCCCGCTGGCTCTCCGTCTTTAAGGAGGCACCAATTGCGTGTATCATGTCTCAACAAGGCTTCCTCAAGCCAAAGTTGGTCCTTAATACCCACTGCGTTTCTTAAGCGAAGCAGGTGAAGAGCCGGCCTGGTCGACATCTAGTCTCCGATCGAGAGACCGGCATTCGGGGTTCTGCAAAGAGGCTTGAAATAGGTTGTGAAATGCATTTGATTTGAACGTCATGTAATGTCGCCTTTCTACATTTGATCTTGCCACTGTCTGGCTGCTGCTGAAGCCTTCTTCACCATCTCTGTGTCCGGGCTCCCCCTCCTGAACCTCTCTGTCCGACCCCGATGGGAAGGAGTACGTCATACCCTGCTTGCCAGGCGGTGACTGTGCAGGGCTATGGACCTCTAGCATTCACCGCCTCGAGTTCGAGTTGCATTGTGTTTTTTGACCTTTTCACATCATATAATGTCCACCCTATTCCAAATCCCGTCCTCAGCACAACGTCAGTTTGTTTCCTGTGGTTGTCAAGGCCTCCGTCCCCTCAATCAGGAGTTGCAGACCCTCGGCACTGTTACCATAGTTCTGGCCGTGAAGCCTGGACTCAAAAGCACAGTTGACTTATGCATCAGCGGAATTTCAAAGGGTACGGTCAATCTTCTCCTGATCCTAAATGGCCAGGAAATGCCAAGCTGGCGGTGCAGTTTGTGATTAATTATGAAGAAGGGGGGGAGAATTGCATCTTGGACGGAGACGGCCAGTCAGAGCACCTGCTCTCAGAAATAGTCGGGGCGGCTCCTTTGCCCGGAGTGCGGCACGTAAATATGGAATCTCTGTACGAATATGGCTCACGAGCTGGCTTTTGGCGTCTCTACCGCCTTTTTACAAACAAAAAAGTGCCCGTTACTGTGTATGCCGTAGCTCTTGCACTTGCCAAGAATCCAGAGGCCGGCAAGGCAATGATTGATGCCGGATGGGAAGGTAAGTGTATTTCTGGGAGGGAAACGTGAAGGCTGACGTTGATGAGATATCCGTAATCACTTTAAAAACCATGATGGTAGTTGCCAGTCATGGATATAGGTGGATAGACTACCAGTACGTGGGCGAGACCGTCGAGAGGGAGCATATACGAAAAGCCGTGGCTGTAACCACAGACGTCTGTGGGACTCGACCAGTCGGCATCTACCAAGGCAAGCCCAATGTCAACACGCGCCGTCTCATTGTGGAAGAGGGCGGCTTCCTTTACGATTCAGACTGCTACAGTGACGACCTGCCATTCTGGAATACGGATTACGGGCGGCCGCACCTCGTAATTCCGTACACACTGGACGTCAACGATATGCGCTTCGCCACGCCCCAGGGATTTAATTGCGGAGACCAATTTTTCACGTATCTCAAGGTAATTTCAGTTGATAGATTCATTTATTGAAAATCCATAGGCTCGAATCACAAGAGTGTTTAACCTTTGAAAAAGATTGATTGTCTAACGATTCTCTACGGACGTTTCTTTGTGAAAAACTCCCGATTAGGACACGTTTGACTACTTACGCCAAGAGGGTCTGAACGGAGATCCCAAAATGATGTCTGTTGGATTGCATTGCCGTATTGTGGGTCACCCCGGGCGGACTGCAGCTTTGGCACGCTTTTTAGACTACGCTAAAAGCTTCGACGATGTGTGGATTTGTCGCCGCATTGACATCGCAAATCACTGGCATGTTAATCATCCTGCTTCCACGGGTATAAAGTCTAAATATTAAACATGTTGTTCTGACGTCAGATGTCTTGCGCCGCCGAATGGCTCCGGACGTTATGCTTTGACTGACCATTGCTGTGAATTTTTGATATTTTTTGTGCTTCGGGTATTTTCTTTTTTGGCAGCAAGAATTTCACTGGGTAAAACAACAACAAATTAAACTTTCTTTTCCTCCGTCGACAAAACGGAAAAAGAATTCGAGTCCGACTTTGCATGGGTAGAGTCCAGATTTTAAGGGCCTTAGCGCTGGTCCATCGCGCCTTATAATGTATTTCAAGCCAATAATTACATTTGTTGCGCTCAAGTCAAGTTGTGCTGGTCCTCCTGACGGCTCTCAGAGGTGGCAGCAGCCTTGGTAGCGGAAAAACATCTGCTCGGGACAGACCCCCCCGACTAACCTCCTCCCTCTTCTTCGAGCAAGGGATATTTCATACTTATCAAAGCACAGCACCAATCACAGGAAAACCAGTATATTTTAAAATTTATATCAGGACATGTCATTTACATTCGGCTTCGACTTACCTTCGAACCCATCAACGACATCAAACACTGTGGCCCAACTCGGAGCGTCTCCGTCCTCTCATACGACCTGGGGACATGCCACTTCAACACCACGCGTAATCCACCTCGATGAGTTGACCACAGCTCCTGCATTTTGCTCGATAAGTGTACTTACTCGCACATATGACGATCCCAAGGGACATTTTCGTGTGGTTAAAAATGTGGAGGGAGTGATTGCCGACTTGCCAGAGGGAAGTGATCTCGTTCCTGGCGTGTATGAGGGAGGCTTGAAGATCTGGGAATCCAGCAAGGATTTAGTCTGTTACCTCCAGAACCAAAGAATAATTCGACCTCCTTATCGTGTGCTGGAGCTGGGATGCGGCCACGGGCTTCCAGGTATTCACGCTTTACAACAAGGGGCTGATAGTGTGGTTTTCTCCGATTTGAATGAGGAGGTCCTCCGGGAGGTTACACGACCTAACATATTTCTGAATGTAGCTAATAGAGCGCTATCCTCTGCAAGGATAAGCTTGATCTGTGGCGACTGGGAGGCATTGCCCCAAATTCTTGGTGTAGACAAGCCGGTAGACTTTAACGTCATTGTTAGCGCAGAGACATTTTACACGCCTGCTGTTACAAACAAACTTTTGCGTTGCATTCATCGCTACTTAGCCAAAACACCGGAGGCATTGGCATTGGTGGCTGGTAAGCGGTACTACTTTGGCACAGGCGGATCTGTGGCCAATTTGATGTCGCAAGCCAGTGCTCTTGGCATGCGGAGTCGTGTGGTGGCCTCGTCTGAAGACGGGAGAAGCAACATCCGAGATATCGTGGAGATAAGATGTAAGATGGAAGGACTTGTAAGGGGGGAAAAAATATAATCATCGTAGCAAATGTACTTCCTACTATTTGCCCACACAAGGGCGGCACTGGGCATCTTTATCGTTCATGCCATTTGTCAAATTTTACTTTGGCGATCCTCACAGAACCAAGGCCCACAGCAGAAAGGCGGCGGCGGCGATCTGACCTTTGCGTTCTAGAATCGGTTCGTAGTAGTCGGAAAATTCATCGACTTTGTCGACCAGCGGGCGGAGGCGCTGCTTCCAGCGTTTGGCCCGTAGCTTGACCAGGTATTGATCGTACGCAAGCCGCTCGATTGGACTAGAGAGGCTCTCGTACGCCTCCTGCACCAGCTGGAACGCTTCTTGCGCACCAAGGTGACTAGTTTTGTCCGGATGAATAAGAAGAACCAACCTCCGAAAGCTGTCCTTCACGGCCAGCGCCTGCGCGCGTCGAGAGATGCCTAGTACCACGTACCAATTCGGTTCTTCTTTCTCCCCTTCCCGCAGGACACGCTGAATTTCTTTGCTTGTACGGTCTTTTACGAGTAGATTCTTCATCCCTGCACTTCCAGCTCCCTCTCCGTTCTCCCAGTCCTCATCGCCACCCTCTACCTCCAACAGGGCAGCGCCAACGGGACCACCATGGCCGCCGTAGAGGAGGGCGTCTGTCTCCAGAACCAGTTTGGCAGCCAGATGAGCGCGCGCGGTGCCATTCTCTTCCCCAGTACGATCGACTGTACCCCCTTGGTGCTGTGAATTCATCTCCTCGAAGGACGCTTTGCCGCGCACGCTACCGAACGCGGCGCTCATCATCTCGGCTTGAGCTTCGTCACTGGTGGGGGGCACGCGGCCTCGCTGCGCATGGAAGGAGGAGAATCGAGACGTCGTGCCTCTATTACTTGTCCCTTGGCCAAGCCCGAGCACATGCCCGCGCGGCCTGTGCGAGATGCGTCCCGCCAGGGCGGACACTCCATCACGGTGCCCGCTCCCGCCATCAATACCCGGGTCAGCCGCGGAGCTGCCGCTACGGCTTCTCGCCATCGGCTCCGCCCACTGTTGTTCCTTAAATGCCTCGAAGAGATTGTCATCGCGTGCTTGTCTTCGAGTCCGTACTTTCTCCTCTGCTTCTTGCCGCACGGCCTCCCGCTCTGCTGCATGTGCTCGTGCCTCGTCGAACGCCGCTTCCTCGGCTAGGCGCCGTTCCTCCTCAGCCTGGGCTTCAATTAACCCCCTTATCTCTGCCATGGAGTCCTCTTCTGCAGCATTATACATAACGCTGCCAATTTTCTCCTCCTCCTCGTCCTCGCTTCTTATGATCCCCTCGATATCTCGCTGCTCGTACCCCAAGACGCCATCCCCAGTGGCTTTCTCGAGCCCACTTGACAATTCATTGACCAATTTATCCGATCCTTTCTCATTGTCAGACGTCAAATTCTGGTAGTCTTCCTGGCGCATAAGGCTGATCTCACCCCCAGTATCGTGCTCGGGCCTCACATCTATTTGAGCACCATGCTCAGAGTTTTTCCGGCTATCCCGCGAGTATGGTGGCGCTGCATCATATGTGTATATGGTAGTATCTACATTTTCAGATGCTGGTGTTGATTGAGGAGCTGCCTCTCCGGTGTTTGCTAAACTAATTGCAAATTGGGATAATATACATGCAAGGCAGACGACAGCCCAGCCTCGCCGCGAGTGTCTTATTCTATAATCGCCATCGATTGCACCCATCAAAAACGTTTCTTGAGTACTGGGAATGATCACTTTTCAAAGCGCTACCAGAGGTAGTCTTAGAGCCTGTTGTATCGTGTAGGAAAGGCACGTTATAAGCTTCCTGCCCAGATGAAGATGAGTGTCCCCATCACCAGCGGCTCGGCTCCAGCGCCCTCCCAGCTTTCGCGCCAAAACTATTCAGCTAAGTTAGCTGAGCAAACCAATCAATGGTGAGATTTCATTCATGAATGACGCTTCATCCAGATGGGATGACCGAAAAAAATATGCGGGCCTCCGATTTGTGATCGGAAATCGCTTCTTTGAAGCTCGAAAATGCGCTTTGGCCTAGGGCTAGCTCAGGTAAGGCCTTCCTTGCTTTCGCGCCGAAACTATTCAGCCCCCCTGTCCTCCACTTTGCTCACCGCAATTTGCCATTTCAGGAAGAGCACCGCGTGGCCAACGTTGCTTTCTCTCAAGCGTGTACTTGCAACTAAGTGAATGCGTTTGGATGCGTGAGGCAATCGAAGCAAACATAGTTGAATCTTGTCTATGGATGCAGAGGTAAGATAAGGCATAAGAAGGAGAGAGTGACGTGCGTGCTTCTTGCTTTCGCGCACCCTGACATGGCTCTATCCTGCTACAGCGCACGTCTACCGCTTTATTGTCTGGGCATGAAACAGGTTAAGTTCTAAACAGATAATGCATAGCTCACTCTTGCTTGGGCTATCATCTTTGGGTCGCAACGCAAGACTTGATTTTTAAATTTAAGCGCCCGAGACGGTAGCGTTTCCTGAATCGTAGCAAGTTCGACTTTTTTCCCATTTAGGTGATTCGTTTGCCTATTATGCGCAAAATACACACACATGTAAATAAACTGATCATTTAAAGGGCAGAGATAGATTTTAGCGCTAAGATATTTCGAGCTACGTCGGCTGTCCTGTAGCTGCCGGGAGCCGAGTCGCATAATTTAGTCCCTCGCCTACTGACAATGCTCCTTTTTTCCTCGATCTGTTAATGTGTTTTTCGTAGGCACTTTCCTCGCAAGGTTTTCTTAACATTGCTTAATCGATAAGTATTCGGCCGGGCAGTTTTCGAGCTCGGTAGACGAACCCGTGCAAGTGTCCTAGGAGATGCCGTAAACATCGGGGAACTCTTGTCGTGTCCGTGTCGTGTGTTAGTGGAAAAAATAACGGGTATGTCTTCGTCGAAGCTTTTTCCTGGCGAGGGAAAGGCGGTAGGCAGAGGCGACAATGCGAGTGAGCCCTTAACAAGGCGAGATTCAAGCGCGGGGGGCTCTGGAAGTCGCGACCACACGCCCGTTGTCGCCCGTTACGCCATCCTGTCAGCTCGGACAGACTCTCTTGGCGACATGGGTGGACGAGTTGAAGGCGCGCCCGAGATTACGATCCAGCACGCGAGGGTAGTGGAGGGGCGGGGCGTCACGTCCTCGGTGCCTGCGAGCGTTTCGGCGGTGCAGGAGAGTTTGACGAACGGGGAGGCGAGGACCTCGACGCCGGCACGTTTGTCACGCGTGCTGACACCGCATAAAGGCCAAAGCCGGCCCCCCTATCAGGGCCTAGCAGGGAGAAGTGCAGCCACTGCCTTGGGCGATCGTGATGCCCGAGGGGAACAGGAAGATATCGCGGTCCTGCTTCAACGACGAATGGAGCGGCGTTCGCGTAGAAAGCTACGTAGGTGGGCTAATGACCGTCTCTTCGACGTGAACGCCGTGCAGGGCCCACCTGGGGATGAAAAAGAGGCGGTGGCCGAGGGCGAGTACGGACCGCTGTGGGAGGAAAGGCTTCCGTCCAAGTTCTCGGCGCTGATGGCACAGGAGGATACTGAGGCTCGTGATCGGTATCTGGCAGGCTATGGGACACGAACGTGTGGGTGGGGTGGAGGAAGGAATAGGGGAAGACTCCGTCATATGAGTCGGGGACAAGCGTCGGCGTTGGGGGAGGCGGAGACTCGCTTTCTTCGACTGGAGAAGCGGCTGCGAGGGATTTTGACGCAGCTGGTGGGCTCTAATGCGCACATGGCAAGCTTTTTAGAAGACATTGAGGGTCTTCTCACTACTATGCTGTCAAGAAAATCCTTGTTGTGTGAGGGCGGCGGAAGAACGGGTGGAAAGGAAGAGAATGGCACTTCGGAGGGAGGAGGGAGCTCTCGGTGCTGTGAGGCCTTGACTAGGTCACTCGCCTTGCCCTTGTACATGAGGCAGGGGGAACAGGCCGCTCTGGTGCTGCCTTTGAAGGACTCGGCCTTCCTCCGCTTGCTGGTGCACGGCTGTTGCCTGTACTACGGCTTGCGCTCACACAGCGAAGACCTCCCACAAGTCTGGAACCCTGACGCGGAGAGGGTACGTGCCGTGGTAGTTGTCAAGCCAGCGGACGTGGCAGCCGCTGCCTGGTCCCCGTCGTGGATAAGTCTGTGTGCCTTCATCAAACACAGTCGCCTGCAGCAGCACCTGCAATATAAGCACCGTGGCGGCGGGCGATGCCTGAAAGAGACCACACAGGGGGATGGTCCTATCACGCAAGTTTCGACGACGTGACTCGTGAAGACGGCAATAAGTTAGCGACAGGTGTCTTTGAAAACTCCTGTTTCCTCACTTTGGTACAGTTTCACCGATCTCAACGCTTGCAAGCACCAGGTAATTGTAGGCCAACATGAACCTCATGGAATGGAACGACGTGATGAAAGAGCAAAATGTCGCACAGCAAGTATAGTTGTATCAGCCGAGAGTATGCCAAGGGCGAGCTGTATGTACAGGAAAGTGAAAAGGGCCTCATGCTCAAGCGTAGAGCGTGTGAGATATGGAGATGGAAAATGGTCAAAGAAAGAAGGAAACTATATGAAGAAATAGTGCTGAATCTTATGGTCAAATGTACACTCTCCTACTTTTAAAACCCTCGCTTCATCTGCCTCCTCGATCCATCAAGCCAGCTGACCAGTCGAAAGCAAGTCCAGCTCACGAATTTGACGTGGTTCGGTACCCCTTGGGATCTGAGCAACTCTTAGTCGGAAAGACATGCTGACTCACTGTCCTGCTGACGTGAGAAGCCAAGGCTTGAGGGCGAAAGGAGGACATGGGATGAGGCGTGAGACGAGGTCGCCGTCGTCAAGTTCTTCGAGATGGCAGAGTGGGTTATTTCTGGGGAGGCGTGCCCTTCTCTCTCATTTGTTGCCGTCGAACCTCTTCTTGCCTCATTTGCCCATACGATCGATTCTTTAAAGTACACCTTAGACCATATCTAAGCTTTCTGGTGCGAGCGGTCATTGTTTTGGCCAGTAGAAGTCTCGACAGGATGATGAAACGGCTTTTGAAGA